TCCAAACTCTGGGCTCAAATCGCAAGATACAACTTGGACTTTTTACCACTGCTAAAACAATATTGCTTCCAATGCGTCGGTAACCGGCAAACTTGTCATTGGCTTAAATATGGATGATGGGTTTTAACAAAATTATTTGCTTACTTCTCCCTGTTTCAATCCAATACATATTATAATTATTTAACTTTATATAAATATATATATTATTTTATGTAGATAAGCCCACTATAATAAGTCTAATCTTTTACGAAACACAATAGGTTACATTTTAATTATCAATATATTTAACAAACCTGCTGCAATTGGTCGCATTCAACTGTTGTGGAATTCTCTTGACTCGAAATGCCGTACATATAGAAAAACATGGGCTGATCTGACAGAAACTTGGACCATGAAAAGCTTGTTTCATAATCTTGATTGATAAAGTTTCTGGTTTCAATTTTTCCACCTGAAATCAATGTGTAAAAAAAAGCATCAGTTATTTGCTAAACATAGCAAATAATATTTACACTTTAAACATAATGTTTTTAGGATTAAAATCAAATTCGGGAAAAACAATGTTTTTTTTTCATATTCAGTTATAAAGACGTTTAGAATTTATTGCATACTCACCTTCAACTCCAAGCCCATTACCTACACGGATACCATTTGATGTAACTTCGGCAAATGCTAGGTTACCTCCATGGGCGCGAACAGTGACGTAATATATTGCATCTTCTGCCAATAATAAGTCAGTGAAAGTCCAAACGGTGTTCAACTCTACGTTTGTGAATGGTATAATGTCGGCACGTGTTTTAGAGTATCTGCGATCGGTACCAACGGCAATGGTGTAAAATTCAATGAGTTGTTTTTCATTGTTTGAAGTGTAACCTAAATCAAATTACACAATAATTGACGTTATTATCATAAGCCCTAAAACTAAACCATGAACTTTATGATTACCGTACTCGCGCGAATAGGCGCCCCGTTTGAATAAGTGCCCCTGAAAACGTGGAAATATTCTTAAACCCAGCAATTTTATGCAATTTTGATGCATCATTAGAATCCCGATCTTGCTTTATTTCTAGTGTACATGATCTTAGATATTGAACTACAGTATTTAAAATTTAAAAATTATATTACTTCATGGCCATATACAGTTGTGTTCTTTTCAGTCAACAAAACTAAACTGACTTTAACACTCTCGCATGTAAAAATCTTGAATATTTTTTATTTATTTTTTAAAACAACATCATGCGTTTTTTTTAGCAAGTTAATAATCCAATCAATCCTGGGACTCGGAATCCTGAATTGAGCAGCGGATGGGATTCACATTTTCTTCTTAAGTAAATTTAAAATTAAGGATAGGCCTATTTATCCTGTACAGATGACAGCTCTCGACAGTATCTTTCCAAATTTCCTCTCCTTACATTTAGCAAAGAATCGGTTATACTGCACTCCTCTTTTTCTTTTCCCAAGACTTGCACCTTTAACACGTTCGTCATCTCAGTTTGCAGGAATCCCTACAACTTGATCCTGCTAATCTCAGTTATCATTAACTATATTTACCATTTTGAATAAGGACATCATTTTTCTGATTGTCGTCACCAAAACCGTCCCAATTAGCTGAAAGAGTTGTAATTGATGCTTGCTCATTTAAATCAAATCCTAGCACACCACCATCATATACACGGCCTGGAAAAATTGGTTGTAAGCGAAGTGTTACGCCGTCTGTCCTAATCGTTTGAATATAGCCTAGAATATTGGTAACTCGCACAATGCTGTAGTATGTCTCTCCATCTAACATGTTCATATCTTCATTCATTCCTAAAGTTTTTGCTGAAAATAGATTAGAACTTAATGTGAAATAATAAGAAGCTTGATTCTGATATTTTTTTTTTCTAATTTCAAAACAAACTTACCATTAAAGTTACTGTTAATATTTCTTACTACTGTATTAAAACAGTTTCTTTATTTTCATGCTATGTACAATGCAACCTTTCCTGGCTATACATTTGTATCATTCTAGGAGAGCTTGGCATTGTCTGTAAACAATAATGTTTTCAGACAATGCCATTTCTTCACGGTTAGCACGTCTGTCGTACTTGTATTAAATAATGCTTTCCTGTAGCATGACAAAAGTCAGTGATTGAGTTCCTTTATATGTATATATATATATCTGTCTCTTATACACATCTAGATGTGTATAAGAGACAGTACATCATGCTCTCTCTCTCTCGCTCCCTCTCTCTCCCTCTCTCTCTCTCTCTCTCTCTCTCTCTATATATATATATATATATATATATATATATATTGTTGTTATGTTTTTAAGGCCTCCAAATTTTATGGAAATTTATGCCTTACTGATTTGTCTATAAAATTCTGGAATAACGATTCTTAATAGATTACCATGTGAATATTATTATCGTTATAAGTATTATTACGAATACTGTTATGATTAATTTAATGATTATTAGTATGATATACTATTTTAATTATTATCACTATAAGTATTAGTATGATTATTATTGTTTTAATTTATTAGACTAAACTTAGGAATGCTTTAACTACAAAAACAGTTGGTGAACTTGGTATTTTCTGAAGTTCCTATATAATTAGTTTGTATAAATTTTTGTCGTAAGCTTACTTGAAACAGACACGAATTCTTGTATTGACATCCCATCTATTCTTTTTATCGCCCATTCGCAATTTACAATTGGGCAAGGATCGCCATTGAAGTTCCATGTAGCTCGAATTTCGTGAGCATCGGCTTGAAAGTCACTAAGTGTATAAGATATTGCAAATGACTAGAACGTAACACAACACCAAGTTAAATAAGCCTATAACATTCGATTTTATTTGTCAAGGTATGTATAGTTATTGTAAAATAAATTGTCGTAAAAACATTTTTTTTAATGTTTAACGTTTCTACAATTCTAATGAATTTCTTACATGTCTGTAGATGTCGAATTTCCGTCGTTTACTGTTGGGCGTTTGAGTGGATCAAGACCACTGGAAACGCGACTTATGAAGACGCCATTTGACATAGCAACAGTAGACAATTCAGCTGCATTTGTTCCCTTAATCATTACAAAAACCTTAACAAATAAATTCACATTTATATTATTATTATTATTTAAAGAGCCTCTTTTTTTCTATTTTTTTGTGTGGTAAGGTTACAACCTTTATAGGATATAAAACATGATAAATATAAGGTTACAAACACATCATATTATAAATTTCCAAAATGTTTGGAATAATAATTGGTTTATTCTCAAAAGAAATATGGCTACCATTAACAACGTCGTACAATAGACCTATTGCTTTTTGATAGCGACTCCTAATTCTGATAATATTTATTTAATTTTAAGTCAAAATTTACATATAGCCAACTTAAAAATGTTTCTGGTGTTTTTTTTAAATATAATATTTATCACAAAGAATCTGAAATAGGCCTGTTCAAATTTATGTTGAAATTGTTAAAGTAGACCAACATAGAGCTATATATTGTATTGTTACCTGACGAACTTCACTAAGGTCTAAACCAGTGATTGTATAGTAAGTGAGAGATGGTGAGACCAATTCAAAACTTTTGATATCCGCTTTTCCAATCTCACTTCCAACGGCAATCTCATAACTATAAAATAAATTTGCATTTAAATATACATATATATATAGGCCCCTATATATATATATATAAATTTATATATATATATAAATTTACATATACATAAATGAATATATATATATATAAATATATATAAATATATAAATATAT